GCATGGCTGGGGGGAAGAGGTTGGCACATTTTCCTCCCCAGCAATTCTCCTCCCTCACGGTGGCATTGCCTCTTTTCCGTAATGCCCTGGCTTGGGCAATGCAATCAGCTTGTGGCCAGGATTGCAGTAGCGTTGGCTTGCTCCCTGCTTCCCATCCCAACGGAGCCATGTTCCCCTCTTGTGCACAGTTAAAGAGGGTGGCTGCTCTTCTGCTCTGACCCTGGGAGGTGCTCAGCTCTCTACATCTGCACTGCAGTCCTTGAGGACCTCGGTTCATTCTGCCCTGCAGTCCTTGAGTGCCTCGGGTCAGCACCTCAGATCAGTCTGGGGACCTTTTTCATCAGACGTGCTCGTCCTGTTACACCCAGCCCCGTCCTACGGTCCCCACTGCACGGGTTTCCCATTGCACGCTCCCTTTGCAGCTCCCTAGCTCTGAAACAGCTGTACGGTCCTTCCTGGCGCGTAAAGTGGAAAATCATAAAGTCCCGTTTCCTCTGCAGGGAGAAAGAGTCTCCCGGCTCCTTGTGAGATTAAGCTTTGTGCATATATCTGCAAATGTTAGGGGCAGAGGTTAAGCTGAGCAGTACAAGGGGAGGAGGTGACAGTGCTTAGCAATGCAGATCAGATAGCTCTGAGACCTTCCAGTATTCATGGCCAAATCCTGGGATATTTAGGGGTTTAAAACATAATGAAGCCAGATGAAGGAAGGAGTGCTGTTTGGGTGAGGAAGGACGGATGAACTCAGCTCCCTGGAAGGAAGTTCTTTGATCTGCTGGTGGCCATGAAGGTGGCCAGATGTCTTAGTGGCCATAGGGGAGGTAACCGTGCCCTCCTAGGCGATCCCCAGAGGCAATCCATGCTGCTGCCTCCAGCAGGGAAGCAATCAGGAAAGCAATGACACCCATGAAAGCAGACTTGGCGTCTGGGGTTTGCTCTTTGCTGGGAGTTGCTCCATGATGCTGGGAGGGCAGAAGCAGGATGGGCCAGCCGGATGGGATGGCTCCTCAAGTCCTTGCATCCTCTGCTTAGAAAAATCAGCCTTGGCAGGGAGATGCACAGCATTTCCACAGCCTTCTCCTGGAGAAGCTGGCTGCTCACGGCTTGGATAAGTGCACTCTGCACTGGGTTAAAAACTGGCTGGACGGCCGAGCCCAGAGAGTGGTGGTGAATGGAGTCAAATCCAGTTGGCGGCCAGTCACGAG